CTCCACTGAGCGCCCGCCCCAAGGCCCGCTCTAGCCCTAGCAGCGGGGCCCAATGTCTGAGTTGCCTTTGTGCATAAGATATTTGCGTTTATTTAGACGTTGTAAAAATTATAATTATGTGTGCGTGCCATGCATGAAAATGAGCTGAGACAACACAGAGAAAGAGTGTGTACGAGAGTGAGAGAGAGAGAAACAGAGAAGAGAAGATATAATACAAAAGAAAACTGAAAAACAAGACCATATTTTGCGATCAATTCTATTAGATAAGCCCTGTGGGCGTTGCCTTCAATCGACACGACTCTAGGCCACAAAATTCGCAAACTGAACAAACAAACGTTGATGATGATGTTTGTTGTTGTCGCAGTCGTTGTTGTCGTTGTTGTTGTGGCAGCTTGAACTATGAAGCGACGCTGGCAGAGGCTGGACGTTTGTGACAAAGTTAAGCAACATGTTTCACAAGCCATAAATAATTAATTTATGCAGCCGCAGACGGAACGCTCTGAACGCTGTGTGCAAAATGCCTAAATATAGACCATAAATTTGCATAGTCAGAAGCTGATGAAGCCATTTGCCACATACATGCATGCATATATGAGAGTGCAGATACATATATATCCTATTTACTATACCACACACACATACAGTGTGTGCTGCATATGTATGTAAGCTGGAACCCCAAACTAACTTTGATAAGTTCTCATGAGATTGAGAAATTTAGTTTTATAGAGTGAACTTACTCATAAAGCAATTCTCTCCATTTAAATATTTTACAAGTTGATCAACACTGGCTGTATTGGGCTTGTATTAAAATAAAAACTATACTATGAAGTATCGCATTAGCAGTTAGCTATAATTCCTAACAAACAAAAATAATAATAATAATAATAATAATAATAATAATAATAATAATAATAATAATAATAATAATAATAATAATAATAATAATAATAATAATAATAATAATAATAATAATAATAATAATAATAATAATAATAATAATAATAATAATAATAATAATAATAATAATAATAATAATAATAATAATAACAATAATAATAATAATAATAATAATAATAATTACTTAAAGTATTTAATAAATATACTAAATAAATACTTAATGGTACTCATTAGTATTCTTTAAAAATCATGCTTGTCTACTTTATACATACAAGTAAATCTAGCTATTAATGTATATAAGAAATACTAAAAAGTATTTATATTGTATTCCTTAAAAACGGCTTTTCAGTATTCGTTTGGCTAGTATTTAAAATATACTCAACTTGCTTGGTCCACTTCAACGTTGCTCCACTGTGGCTGTGGCAAGTAAATTTGTGCCGCAGTTACTTCAGCAATGCGGCAAGTTCATTGACCATTCGCAATTGCCGCTTGACCACGCCCATGCCCACACCCATAAGCAGCAGCAGCAACAACAATTGCAACTACACAACTGCCAGCAACTGCTTTTGGCGACATTTCCATTTTATTTCTCGCTTTGCTTGTTTCCGTTCGCTTCTTTTATGCGCTCGCTCGCTAATTTCAGCTGCTTACAAAATGGCGGCGGCGTCGTGCAGCTGGCAGCCATTTTGTTGCTGCTGTTGTTGTTATCGCTGCTGCTGCTGTGTGCGCAGTGTTGCATAATTAAAAAATATTAGCCGCTGTTTACGAGCAGTCTTTCAGCTGGCAGCTCCCGCGGCCATTGTTGCTATTCAGCTCGAGATTACTAATTAAAGCATCACAGAATTTGGAATTAATTAACAAGCAGCTGCCTGCAAAAGAAATAAGCACTTGCATTTATTAATTTTAGTTTACAATAAATTCTAAACTTTTCAATTTCGTTTCTGTACTTAGACTTCTAATATTTAACTGATTTTTTAATCATTTTGCTATTAGTTTTATATTATATATCCTTTTTATTTATTTTTTATTTTTTAATATTATAATTATTTTATTTTATATTATTATTATTATTATTATTTATTTATTTATTTATTTATTTATTTATTTTTTTATTTAAATTCTATTCATTTTATTTTTCGTTTTAATTTGATTTTCTGACTAAATTTCATTTACTTTATTTCAATTATAATTTATATTACATATTACACGTCTTGAATTTAATTTATATTTAAAATTAATTAATTAATTTAATTTAAATTTGACAAATGGAAATTTTAAAATAATTTATTCAACGGTTTTTCTAGGGTTACATTGCAAGTGATCTGCCAATGCTAGATTTTGTGCCCAGAAGCAGTGCATCTCGTGCTCGTGGCCCTGGCCCTGGCCGTGACCATATCCGTGGCCATAGCTGATCTGGCTGGCGCTCATCTCAGTGTAGATATTTTTGTGCTGCACTATGTGGGACATGTGGAGGAGCATGCGAGGGCGAACGCGTCCCGGGTTCCGAGTGCGTCGGAGCCGACTGCGCGGCACTGCGATAGCCATCAGAATACGTCGATAGGTCCGCCAGCCATTGCTCCGATCGTACTCCTGATGAAAGTACTGAGGCACCTTGTTCTGTATCTGCCAGCGTGCGAGGCGAGCATGTGCCCGATAGGCTGCCACTTGAAACCCCAAGGCCTGCGCCATGATCCTCGGGTACTTGGGGTGCTTGCGCAGCTTCCCATTCTTGTGGTAGTAGATGAGGCATTCGCGCCGCAGCTGCTTGTTGCGCCGGCGCAGATACATGAGGTCAGCATCGCTGTTAACACGCCTGGTCGTCTGCCCAGGCGATCCCCAAGAGGACTCGAGCGAGCGCCTCGTGGTGGGCTCTATGCGCACCATCTCCTTCTGCCTACCTGCAGCACTCACCAGACGCTTCTCTGTCAGCTCGCTCGACACCCGACTGGAAGCACTGTCCACACTCTGCATTTGCTTGGAGTCCTCTTCGTTGGATTTGATGATTTCCTTGAACAGCTGCGAGTAGCTATGCCGCGAAGCACTCTCATTCACTATGTTGATGCTCTCTTCCGATATGGTAGACAGCGGAGATCTGTCTAGCCTCTGCATTGACTCGATGACGGCCTCTACCTCGAGCATTCTCTTGCTCTCGGCCGCGCACAGTTTGCGCTCAGTCTTGCTCTGATAGCACTCGTGCGAATCGAACGTCTCGTAGAGCGTCTGATGTGAGCTGCTTCGTGCAGAGGCCGAGTGGCTCGCAGAATTCCTCTTGCTCTCCTGTGCGAGGGTCGCCTCTTCGAAACTGGAGCGGCAGCTAAACAGACGCTTGATGGATGCACTTCGATTAGAATCGCTCCCTTCTTTGACTGTCGTCGACTCTTCAGTTTCAAACTGAGAGGCTGTCTGCATTTCGCTCTCAGGCGGAGAAGGTGTTTGCACTTCGCTCTCAGGCGGAGAGGGTGTCTGCATTTCGGACTCAGGCGGAGAGGGTGTTTGCTCCTCGTGTATAGGTGTGAGGACGTGTGTGGAATACGTTCTATTTGTAGCTACAACAGACAGTCCCGTATATGCGTCCGTCTCAGCCGGAGAGGGTGTTTGCACTTCGGTCTCAGGCGTGGAGGGTGTTTGGGGTTCGGTTTCATGCTGAGAGAGTGTCTGCTCCTCGGGTATAGGTGTGAGGACGTGTGTGGAATGGGTTCTATTTGTAATTACAACAGGCAGTCCCGTATATCCGTCCAGTACTTCGTTAAGATTCTTGCCCATGCTGTTCACGTCCGTAAAGGGCACCTGCAGGTAGCCAATCTCCTTCAGATGGCCGTACATCAGCAGCATCAAACTGTTTCTGGCCCACTTTTGGGGCTTGGGCGCAGCAAGGAAGATCTGTAGCCAATATGAGATGATCTCTTGATCCGACTCGCTGGCTTCCTGTCGAAAGACCGGCTCGTATTCCTCCAGTTGTTGGGCGAAATGGCGATCCAACCATTTCTCATTGGGTTCCTTCATCATTGCCTGTATTCAATCATAAAAATATATTTATTTTTTCCAGAGTGAGAGAGTTAGAAAACTAGATATAAACTGCTGAGTATCCAAATATAGATTGAGCTCAGTCCCCAGGCATAGTTGCCCAGGTTAGCAAGTGGCTTCAAGAACTTGTCAAGGACGCTGTAGCAGGCCATGACAGGATTATGATGGCTGCCTCCAGGCGAACTGCGACCGCGCATAACTTTCCCGACCGCAGGCGAAGGCATCGCATCAAGTGGAGCACCAAGTGGTGCTGCATGCACCTTGAAGTGCCACAAACCAACGCCATGTCATTCACAATAAGCACAAAGCCAGCTGGCTGAGATGGCGGAGATGCCTGCGCCGACAACAAAGCGTGTGGTTTGCCTTGTTACGCAAATTTTCATTAGCGCTGCGCGCGTATAAATTAGGAAAATGAAGCAGCCGCCGCAGCTACAGCCAACAGCAGGCAGCAAAGCACTTGAGTGCAGCGGAACGGCTCTTACTCTCGGCTGGGGCGCTTAAGCTTGCCAGCAGCGGGTGGCCTAACCACAGCCACAACAACAACAGCTAGCAAAGTGTAGCTGCTGCGGTCTGTGGCTAGCAAAGCAGGTGTATGTGTGTGCGCCTGTGTGTGTAGGTGTGTGTAGGTGTGTGGCCCGCATTAATTTATATTGTTAGGCATGAGCTAGAAAATAAGCACGCACAGCCTGTCCAAAACAGTGCCAAGACAGCAACAGCAACAGCAACAACAATAACGGGCATTAGCCCTTGAAAAAGACTAAAATAAATACCAAAAATCGAATTATAGTGTTTTTAATTCAAATTGCAATAGCCGCACTGATATGGCAACACTGTCCATACTAAGCTGCTGCTCGCCATTAAAATCAGTATCAAATTCAAAATGAAAAAAATTAAAAATTATTATGCGAAAATGCATCCAAAGTGGCAGATTTTGAGAATGCAACTTAAATTATCTCATTTATATCAATTTCCTTTTGTACTTGCCTTCTCACGTACACGACTGCTTATCGATATATCTACACATGTATGTGATCACCATCGCCATTCCAACAAGAACTACATCTCTCTGGCAACGCTGCACTGCTTAAATTGCAGCTGGCAACACTGTCTGCTACAGCTTTTGCGCAAGCGTTTCGCACTTTATTGAGATGGATTCCGACCCACAGCACAAATATCGCAAAAATCAAGTAAATGGCACCCTTTATGTGACCACCTGCCTGTATTTGGATCCACGCAGGGTTGCCGAGCTGGAAACAGGCGCTGATGAGGTGAAACCCATATATTATACAAAACAAGGTACTAAGTTTACTTTTGCAGTTGTTTCTAACTCACATTCACAAGCGCACCACGGCGGACCACATCATGCAGGTGGCAGTTGAGCTGGGCCCTGTGTACACGCTGCGCTTCAAGGTGGACTTCTCGGGCTGCAGTCGTGGCTATGCCTACCTTCAGTACGTCGATAAAATGCACAAATCGGTGCTAATGGAAATGTAATGAATGGTGTTTTGATACTTTTGAGACCAATACGTATATATATTTCGAACCTTCCTTAATCATTAGGCTGCAGCGTTGCTTTCGGCGCGAGAAATTGAGAATTCATGTGCGCGAGTCACGCAATCGCAGAGATCTCCTCCTCAGCAACGTCCACCACCTGACACCGCTGCAGGTGCATCAGGAACTGCGCCTGGTCAGCCACTATGTGAAGCTCTGCGTGTACGAGTATGAGCCCAAGCGCTACATCTATGTCGTAAAGTATCGGAACAATGACGAGGCGGCCATGGCGCATCACAAGCTGCGCAACAAAGTGGGATGCTTCGGCCTGGATGCGTGTATCGATTGGCTGGACAAGGGTCAGGTGCTGAAGGACCTGAACGTGCAGCAGAGCTGCTGTGTCCAGCTGTCGCGCGACTCTGACCACCTCCAAGCCAGTGCCAACAGCTGCCGTTGCTTCCGTATTTAAGTGCAATCCTTATATTTGATATATGCAAATGAGAGAAAAACCAACTTTAATTATACGTTTCCTGCTTTTGTGATTATAATGCGACGCTTTACTCATTCCCTTTTCTGCTTCTTGCCTCGAGAGCAGCCGCATCTTCTTGACTTCATTAAAGTCAAGGAGTGAAAACATTGTAAGGATATGAAGAAGTTGTTTGCTCGCATGCAAATTAATGCGGTGTTTATATTAAATACTCTACCTTAGGGTATTGTGCCTACATCATAATGTGTATACGATGCTAGCTCAGGTAAATATATCCGTTACTCCTCTAACTTCTATAAAGCCATGGATCTGGAAGCTGGTTCCTGGATGAGTTAAGATCTCTTGCTCTCTATTGCAGACGTAAATCGATAACATTATCGATATAATAATTAATTTCTGATGATCAAGTAATAACGATAACGATTCTGGTTAAAATATCGATGTGTCAGTCAGCTCTACTAAATCACTTGAGGATCAATGGGAAAGTTCCTTTAACCCAGCTAAATGCAGGGTATATCCCAAGTCGTTGACTCCCAGCTGAAGCACTCTGCTTATTGTTATTGTTGAGTGCGACAACTGGCTGGTGACAGCAGCTGCCACATGCCACATGCTACATGCTACATGCTACTTGCCACCTGCTACCTGCCCCACCCAGCCCAGCCGCACTTTGGGGCAATGCAAGGGCCTGCGGCATAATGCAATTAAATGAGTGCATTAAGCAGCAGCAGAGCCAGCAGCAGCGCTCGTCCACCTGTACAGGTTGCCAGGTATAGACAAACTTCAACCGGGTGGGCGTGGCTGAAGTGAGGCTCATCCATCAAGGCGGCGCATAGTAATGCGATTGTCAGCAGCTGGCGGATGTTGTGCCTCGGCGGAAGCGGATGCGGATGCGGATGCTGTTGTCCTTGCTGCTGCAATTAAATTAGAGCTTGAAAATCGAAATGCAGCTTTACGGAAAAAGAAAACAGAAACACACAAACGAAGGGAGGAAGGGGTGAAGCGGGAGGACGGCTATCCGGGAGAGCGTGAGTCGAGAGTCTGAAGAAAAAGTTAATAAATATTCATTAGATTCGGGCAGGAGGAGCAGCAGAAGCAGCGGCAGCACCTCCGTGTTGATTTGCATTAATTTGTTAATTCAAGCGCAAAGTGCCACGCCCACGCCCACACACACCCACATCCACTTGAAGGCCATTAAAGGTCCCACTTTTTGTGGTATTTGCAATTAAATGGCTCAGATTTTTGCTATTTGCTGCAGGCAACTGTGGAGCTTAGCCTCAGCTGGCATCGCTGCGGCTTGTGACCCATTTTGGCCATGTCAGGACTTAGCCTCAGCCGAGCCGGGTGTATTGAAGCTAGTGCCAATATTTGCTTAGCATAACTACCCTCAGGTAGGTGTGACCCCGTTTGCTTATGTCTTTAAGGCGTCGCCCCGCGCGTAGGCGTAAGCGTAGGCGTGGATCCAGGGATTTGGGTCAGAGATTATATGCCTGGCATTTGCTCTGTGCCCTGTGCGCTGTGCTCTGTGTGAAGCGACTTTCAAACGGAAAGCGAGAGTTATGCACATATTGTGCCGGCCCGACCGGGTCTGGCTTAAAGCCAACATTCAGTCTAAGCCCTCGCTGGCAGCGTTCTCTGCTGCAAGCTCACGACGACCGCAGCGGGCCAAAGTGGGCAAAGAGCATTCCAGATGCGATTGTGGCAACAGCTACAGGATACAGCACTTAGCTTCATTTTTTGATGATGACTCTTCCCTTTAGATTCGCTTTTTTCTTTTTTTTTTTTTTTTTTTTTTTTTGGGTAAGCAAGTTTTCTTTTGGCCAGTTTTCCATTTGGAAATGGCATTAACAACATGCGTCATGCATATGCATGGCTTTAGCTCAACGTTTTTTTCTGTTTTTGGCCAGAATCCACTCGCCCGGTTAGAGCCAAAGAATTTGCTGTCCCAGCTGCGGTTACATGAGCTATGAAGCGGGGAAATGCACGAAAATTGTTACAAAAATACCTCTTAGTTAGCATTAAATCAACAGTTAGTTCAGTGCATTGCCTTAAAGCCTTGGCTGTGTGGAATCATAGAAGAGTTCTATCACTAGTGGTTCTATTGAAGTCTATTGCCTGACTAGAAAAATCGAATTAAATCCTTAGTGAAACTCGTAAATGAAATTACAACAAAAGACATTTCACATCGAATTGCCAATAGCTCAAGAAAAATGAATTTCGTATTAAACAAAACGTGAATAATTTATTTACATCAAAGCAACCACAAAAATGTTTTTCCAGCTCAAAAGCGCAACAAATTCCAAAAAGCGTAAATAAAACCAAATTAAACTGCAAACAAAAATACCAAAACTTAAAATACCTAAGGCCCAACACGCATACCAAGGGAGTTGCCAGAGGTCTAAGAAAGAAGACAAATTCCTTTAATAATTTCGCAGAGAAATATCAAATATTTGGTATATTTGGCAACAGCTTTTGAGCATAGATGAGTCTGTGGCTTAGGGGTTTTATATTTTATTAAACAATTCAATTTTAGCACCAGCTACAAATTGCGCTCTAGTCCCAGCCGGCAGCGAACCTTTTGAGCCATAAATTGATAATGACTGCTGGCAATATTTTTATAGACAGGCAGCAGGAGCCGGCGTAGGCAGTGCTTAATCGCCATGGCTAATGCGCTCGAAGTCGGCTCTCTCTCTCTCTCTGTTTTTTACTAAAATTAATGAAAAAAGTTGTGGACACAGTTGTGGGTTAGCTGTGACTTTGACATAAAGCACAAACAACAACAAACAACAGGCAACAACGAGCAGCACATTTATGTATATTTGATGTGTTCCTTACACTGTGAAATCCTTGAGGTATTATTAAAAAATTCGTTGCTGTCCCTCTAAAAAACAAGTGGAAACCCTACAGCAGAGTGCCACGACTGTAGAATACTCGCTCAGTGAATGTGCTATGGAATAGCCAGAAATTGAGGCAGGCTATGCAAGTCTTTGTCCTTGTCCTTAAGCTTATGTACATAAGCAACTTAGCCTTATCAAACAGATGTATATAAATACTCTAATATTCTTGAGCAGATTTGCATCTGTATGTAACTACATATGTTCGCATGTCTGTCTGTATATCTCTCTCTCTCTGTCTGACTAACAAGAGAATCCAAGAACGATAGAAGCTCATTTATGTTGTCTACATGTATGCAGAAGCTCTCATTCGGCATTTATACATGAGTAAAACGAAGTTAGAATGCTCGCAGCAGCAGAGAGTGCTCCCATTGGTCAGCTAAAGGTCGACTACAACGATCGTTACCTGACGTCGGGCCCAACATTTGAGAGCAACTTGGGGAGAGTGTAAGTCGACCTATATAAAGGGCAACAGCTGCAGCATTTCTTCAGTCGCCCAGGGCCGGTGGGGGTCAACAGTGCATTGCAGTAAAGTGAAGAGAAGTGAAGCGAAGTCAATGGTCAAGCTACGCATTAAAGACTTAGAAGAAATAAATAGAGGAAATATTAAGAGAAAATAGTTGGAGACAATTCTAGGAGAAAATATTAAGAAGAAATTCTTGGAGGAAACACTTAGAGGAAATACTTAGAAGAACATCTTGGTGGCAAAAGAGGAAACATATGAAAAAATACTTCGAAGAAATATATCAAGCAAATATGCCCGTTTTCTCTTTATGAACAAGCATAGCGCGCAAGCTGTTGTAGTTGTTGTCGTTGTTGTAGCAGCGCCCCAAATGAGTTTATGAGCGTGTCATGTTGTTGTCCCTGTGTCGCTACGTCCTTGTTGCTCCTTGCCATTGCTCTGTGTTTATATTGCATATTAAATATATTTTGGCAGTTCTCCGGCCCCGCCTTACCCCTGCAGCATCTCATCGCCTTCCCGTCTGTAACTTGGCTTGTTGACAATAAAATAACATTTTGCACTCACTTATCCAGCTGGTACTTCAGCTTCGAGAGTTTTAATGAAAAAAGTTTCATTTAACAGAAGCATATTTATATGTATGCATATATATATATATTATATAATAGAGTTGTTTGTATGCCGATCGTTAAGAATCCTTCGGCTTCGCCCCTTCCTTCCCACTCAGCCCGCAGCTATTTTCCATTTGACTGTTTGCTTCATTAAAAACGCATGCCAATAAACACAATAAAAACACTTCATCATTGCTTGAATTTCTTGTGCAAACTTTTTCGCCCAGAACAGTTCAACTAACCATCTACGTGGCCATCATCTCAATATATATTGAGCATACGCAGCGTGAGCCAAAGCGGCAGCCGCTGGATAAGAGCTGCCTGCCTGACTGTCTGACTGCCTGACTGCCCCACTGCCTGACTCCTAGCAGCTGCAGATGGCTGGCTTTCTTATGGCTTTGCCTGATTGTCTGTTGCTCTGGCGCTCACTTTTCGCTCTGGCCATTGAAAATCAATCAATAAAACTCCGTAGCAAAGTCAATTGTGAGGAATGTTTGTACCCTGCATGTAGGAGAGAAAGAGTATATAAAGCATTAGGGTGAATGACAAAATAGAAATAACAATCATTATTATAATTTGATATATGTAGGGAACTTAAGTTAGTTATCAATCTATTTGAACTCAGGAACTGTTCAAACTACAGGCATATAATTTGGTATACTTCTACTCTAATAAATAAAACTAAATTTAAGACCAGAATCATATTAATAGTTATCTCTCTAGGGTATCTTACAGTTTTCTACTCTAATCACGCTGCTCTACAGACATGTGCACTCTATATGGTTATAGAGTCATGTCTCTAGCCCAGTGCTATGTGAAGTTTTTGAAATGCTATGCGCAATATTGAAGCAGCTGCTCATACTTTGGCCAACATTCCAGCTCAAAGTCAGACAGACAGACGGACGGACGGATGGACGGATGGACAAATCAACGGAACGACAATTGGACGGACAAATCGATTATTTGCAGAGCATAAAATAGAGCATTAAACGAAATCAAATATAAAATCAAATCAAATGAAATAAAATAAAATATGGTTATGCCAAAGGCGTACGCTCTACCTCCCCCCTCTCTCTCTCTCTCTCTCTCTCTTTCTCTC